TTACTGTGGATTGAAATGTCAGCTGTATTTCACCGGGTATGAAATTCCTTAGACCAGAGCTGTAGTGACATATGGCGACGGGCCACGTCCCTCTTCTGTAGCACTGAAGTGGCACTGGACATAAAGGCAGGAAAGACTCATGACCATTAAGACCTTTCAGGTTGCCTGGGTTTTGTACATTAGTTATTTGACTGGCCAGTGGTCTCATCACGATGCACTTTAAAGTTGCAAGAATCTTGTGCTTTCCTTCAGTCATAAATAAGAGCGTTTGTTAAAAGCATTTTTAAACTCAAATTTTCCGGGATTGATTGCTACCCCAGTACTTTATATAAAAAAAATACAGGAAAAGCTTTTCCCCTTTGAAGGGGTTTCAAAAACCTGTTTAAAAGTATGGGCCACTGGAAAGGTGCACATCCAGCCTGTGTGACATTAAAGAAAGGAGCTGAGCTGGTGAGTGCCTGGACAGGCTGCCAGTAACTCGTGCAAGAAGCTCAAGCTTGTGAACGTCCTGCTCGAGTCCACTGCAGTGCTGGGTCAGAAGGACTCCCAGGATGGGAGAGGGAGCCGTGGCCAGAGCCCTGCAAGAGGCTGGGCTTGGTCCCGGCTCCGTTTCTGAGGAGCAGGGTCACGGGCTGGGCTTGCTCTTCCCTGCAGGCTCATTCCTGCAGCCGTGATCTCCAGGCTGCGTATGGAGAAGCTGCCTGATTCCTTGTGTCCCGGGTACCTGTGCTCGGAGTGTGCCTCAGTTACCAGCACCCCTGAGCTTCGGAGCTCTGAGGTTCTGAAACCTCGGAGGTTTCTCTGATCAGAACCTCAGAGCCTGGGGCTCTGCTTTCCTTCCCCGTGCACACACGTAACGTCCAGCCCACAAACCAAGCGGACTCGGGCGTGCAGCAGAGAGGAGCTTCTAGTGGGGGCCTGGCGCGTGTCCTCCTGTGTTGCTACAGCAACATCAACATTGGCACTTCCTCATTCTCTGCGGCTTCTCATCGGGGCTGACCTGAGGAGAAACTTCCTCTGGCTGCAACTTTTTAACTCTTTAGTATTTATTTTCATCCCATGTTGGGACAAAACTATTATTTACAAGATTTTACTTGTGTCAAAAGGTCTGTTTTAGTTCGTGGAAAATGTGCTCTTGTGTGTGGGCTTGTGTGGCTGCGCTGAATCAAGTGGGATGGTGATTGAAACGTGGGACTCGCACGAAGAAGAACTAACCTGCTGGGGCAGGGCACTAGCACCCTCTCACCCCACACTCATGTCTCTCTCCCCACACTTGTTTCAGCAGGAGAGGTTTTCTTGTGTGCTTGGAAAGCAGTTAGTATACTAGGGATATAAGAGTATAAATCAAAAAAAATAAATACTTGCTGGATGGTCGGTGAATACAAACTCCAAATACCTGGTTGAAGTGACAGCCAAATTTTTGGGTGGGAGGTATTTATTAAAGCATTTCTAATCACTTCCACCAGTTGCTGTGGTCTGCTAACCATATGACCAAACATCTGCGCTGCACCTTTCCTGTGTCCGAATTCAGAAAACTGACTTCAGTCTTCTATCCCTTTAAAGTGTATTCCTGCCCTGCACAGAGAGAAATCTCGAGAGAGATTCAAAGGTTTAGAGCTAGTGTTAGAGGCCGGTTCAGCTCTTGGTTTGAGATTTTGGGGACCTTACGGAAGCACTAGGATGCTCACAAAACACAGAGCATTAGCAGTGAAAATCATCATTTGGAAATGAAGGTGCCCAAAAGCTGCAATCACTTCTGAATGTCATATTATTTTGGAAATATTGTGCAGATTATGCAGAATACTGAGTTAAAAGTCTTGCACATATGAACTGTTATGGGTAAATAGTGGGTATATTTATGTATATGTCTTTTTCTTGGAAGTTTCTGGTTGAACTAGAGCACAGTCTAGTATGATGCTGCACAATTTTTGTATGTACAGTTTTGTCAGTAGTATTTTTGTGCTCCAAATTGAAGGGGGATTGTTTATAGAAACCTGAAGTACACATCAGCCACTGAACAGGTGGGTTATGAAGAGATGAGAAAAGTGTATTCCTTATACCCTGCAGACATGACAATTTCAGGAAGGAAGTGGCTTTGTATGTTGACAGGTTCATCCTTTTGAAGCTGAGATAATTATCTGTGTGAGTTCACTCAGTAGCTTCTCGAGCTGCACGAGTTATGATCAGCTCTATGAAAAGCCTCCACTGGCTCACCCCTGCAGCTGTGTATCAAAAGGGAGGTTGATACAGAAACTGCTCGTTCCTCCTGCATGGTAGCTGATAGCTGATGTGTTCACTGAGCCTGCTGCTTGGGATGTTTGTCAGGGCGACTGACAGCTAAAGGTTGGGGGAATGTGAAGCTGGGTGGTGGCGATGTGGCACGTGGCGCCAGGGACTTCAACCCTGCTCTTCCTGCAGGCAGTGCCAGTTAGAACTTTGGGTCCAAGTCTCATTCCAGAGTGGTGTCCCCATGACACCTTTCGGCAGCACCCGCCTTCCTGGGCCTTGGCAAGGCTGCTGCAGAGGACAGCGTCCAGGCATCCCCGCTCATTTAGCTTTGTTCCTAAATCCCCAGGAAAATACATGTGAGTGGAACCAGAACACCGCTCTGCATCCTCCTCCTCCTCCTCAACCGTGTATGTTTGGGACTGCTGGGGGCTTCTATGAACAAACTGCCAGAGGTGACCAGGACACGGTGAAACGATCCTAGAAAGTGTTCTCGGTTAACAAGTACACACATTGCCCAGGAGAAAGCAAAGGGAAGTGACTGGAGAAGAAAATCCCTAAAAAATAGGGAATTCACATTCACATTTTTTAAAATGAGGGCAATGAGGAAACTGAGCATCGGAAAGCAGTTTGGGAATTTGACCCCAGTAGATGGCAGATGCTGCGATAGGCAGATGCTAGTGGCCAAATCCAGCAGATCTTCACTGGTGCCTAGCACAGTTATTTTTGATTCCAATGGGAGCTCTGTCCAACAGGAGACTGCAGAAATGGTTTCCAACCATTCAAACAATAGTATGAGCTGAGGAAATGCTAAACTGTATTTAGACACAAAGTATTACGGGAAATAAATTCAGTGCACAAGGTATGTAAATGTATATGCAGATCCTGAGACTGTATGAATGCAATACATTAATTTAAAAATCCAAATTTCTTGGTGTACCACACTGACAAGTTCATATGCTCACTTCTTCCTGTGCCATTGGGGTTCGGACCAAACAGTGTAATTCCAGTTATGGCACCGTTCAGTGGGAACACACCCTCTGTTTTGCAGGGAGGTTCTGCAAAAGTAGAAGGGCTAAATAGCTTTTATGTGCAGGAAAAAAAGCCACAATGAATGCCCTTTCTTGGGTGTAGCCATCTTCAGAATGTGATGCGCAGCATCCAGTGTGTATGTAGCCTAAAACTGAGTCATTCTTAAAAGAGACAGGGCTAATGAGGGGGAAATGACACACTTTGGAGATCAAGCTTTCCTCTTTGAATTTGTACTTAACTAAAAAATTGCCATCCAAAAATACCTCTGTGTGCTATGAATTCATTTGTATTTATGGGCCACATTCAGCTTTCACTTAACCTGTACACTTGCAGCGAAGCAGCAGTGGGACAGCGTACGAGACGATGTGATCCCAGGACACTGGAGTCACACTGACGTGACCGGGCTCCAGGTCACTGACTTGGGACACAGAAATACATTTTGTGTGATGTCGATGTTGTGCCAAGCTCCAAAAGGTTCAACAGTCTAAACATTCACATTTCTTTTGGGACACCTTTCTGGTTTTAGGCTGTGTTTCGGCAGCACGGTTTGTTCTTAAGTCCTTTTACTTAAGTTTGTACTTAGGTCCTGCAGGAGTACTCAATAAATTGGCAATGTGAGAAATCAAAGTTTAAAAAAAACAGAAATGGCACATTTCAAAAATTCATCTTTAAAAAGTTTTATTGCAGTTTTTTTTTTAGTTAGTAAGAAATTTAATATTTTATTTTATCTGCTCTGGTTCATTTACTCTATTAATAATTAGAAGTAAATTAGAGTTATTCTTTCCCTTAGATCAATTATTCATAACCTAGACCATTTAAAATGAGTTTGGTGGAAGCAACTTACTAGATTTTCACTAAAACTGAAAAAGAAATTAGCCAAATTAGTTAAAATAGCCTTGAACTCCATATTGACTAAAGCATTTGTGCCAGAATAAAAATTCATGACATATAAGAAGAACAGTATAAATGATTAATCATTTTAGTTCATGGATATCTATATTTTTATTTAATTACATTTATGCATAATATAAACTGTCTGAAGCTTGGGAATCCAAGCCAGAGAAGCTGAAGAGTCTTCTTCTGTTTAACATTCACCATGTGTTGTTTTCTTCTAGGGTTAATTTGTAAAATGTAAACCACATTCTATTTGTATGCAGTGTTTATGTACTATTTATAGAAAGTCTTGACCATTTATAATTATCCGACATTTTTATCCATAATGTCTGCATATGACTAAAGAGATGTTTATGTAACAGACGTAATAATGCTGTTTTTACAACTGATCTTCAATTTATTTTGTGTAAAACTTTTTGGAGTATTTTATGTTGCATGGAATACAGAAAGGATATCTCTGCTTAGCCCACTTGGTTGAGAAGACTAAAATTATTTCCGCGTAGTCATCAACACAATACCTGCAGGAGACTGCACATTACTCCTATAGCTCATTTGAAGCAGGATGAGCTGAGGGAAAGCAAACTTGGTCTGAAACGACCAAAAAGTGGTTTCTGAAAGCCACAAAGCCACCCCAGCTGTATTTATGAGAGCTGTCCAGAAATGCTGGTGCAAAGCAGGCCCGTTAGCGCCACGGCTTCTGTGAAGCCACCTGTGGTGTCCGGCGCAGCTCCGCTGCCCCGGCTCCCCTCTTCCTCCTTCGGAACACGTCCGCCGTAAGCGCGTCCCGGGGCACCTGTGCTCGCAGTCACTGCTTGTGGTTGCTGATTTGCTCTTCCCTTTCTTTCCAGAACCCTAGAAGTTTTGGTGAGTTTGAACGAAGGGCAGTCTTTCATGTCCAGCTCATTAACAATCACTGCTTCGGAGTGTGTAAGTAAATGACTAGCATCATTCCATGTAAAATACTCAAATTCAGCTTCTCTTGCAGGTTTATCCTTGCATGATCTCACAGTGCAGAGAACCTCAATGTACAGCAACCCTCATTAACGCTTATACAAGATTTATTATTAGACAAAACTTTATACACAACTTATTATACAAAACAATCTAACTTGAAAAATGCATGTGTGCAGATATACATCTAATGATATATGATCTGTAATATATAAACATGCACATAAGCATATGTATAATACATGTTCTAAGTAACTTCCTCAGGATTTTGAAAGATTAGACTTAATTAAAAAATACAACAGTACACTCGCAAGGAAGTTTCAGCTGTTTCAAACGAGGCTTAGAAACAGGATTTCTTCAGCAATTGCATGAAATACTTGCCTTAATTCTTCCCACTAAGGTGCTGGACAGCTTTATTTAAGGAATGCATTTTTTGTACAATCTCACATAAGTATCAACGTGTGTACCATCCAGGACTTGCACATAACACTTAGAAAACATCCCTCATGTGGCAGGTTTGGAGATTTATCTTTGCTTTCTGACATAGGCTCTTCAGTAAGGGTTTTTCTTCCTTTCATTGCTGTTGCATCTGTTTTGCTAGCTGCTTCAGGAGCTGCTGATTTAGACCATATGCGGAACTGTATGCAGAGGGAAAGCCCCAGTATTCTCCTCCTCCCCCAGGCTACCTCAGCTGGCTCTATCCTGTGATCCATACAGGGGCTGTGTATTCCTTATGTGCTCTGGTCTTAGGTTTTGCTATACCTTTTCAAATATATTTCGCTGAATACATTACACAGCTGTGGCTTTGAAAATACTGTGAAGCTTCCATGCTGTTAGAGACCCATTTACCACAAACAGAATTATGCCAGAAGAGCCAGGTGTGACACAGGCACTCGGGGGTCCCATCCCAGGACACAGCCACTGCCCAGGATCAGCTTCTCCTGAAGCTGGGAACGCACAGCCTCAGGTCTTCAGCCTGGCATGGAAGAAGATTATAATCCTGCAGGAGGATATTAGTTCTGTGCAGCTTGAGACACCTCAATAAGGCACCTATATAAGCACTCTAGGCTCTCGGCCCTGCTAATGAGGTCTATGTTGAGTAGAGTATCCAAGTTAGGCCTAGGGCTAGGTACTGTGAACATCTTCCTACATCTTTATCATAGTCTTAGAAAACAAAACAAAACAAAACAAAACAGAAATAGCTCTTAGGATAAACTCCATACTGATACAGTTAGTGCCTTTGAAAACTCAATATACACATTTTCTCATCTCATTTTTCTGCTGTCCACTTATTGCTTCTCTCTTCTCTATTATGTAGTCATGATATTTAGAAGTGTTGCAGTTAAATAAAGAGAACACCAGGCAGGAACGAGGGTTTTGAAAATCTATGTCAAATAGATACAGCTTTTAATTTGCCTCATTTAAAAGTGTGACTTCAGCGCAGCTTTCCCGTTAGGCACATACGCATACAGGACACAGCCTTCTGCTCAACACCATGCATTTTTCCAATAGCATTTTCATCACTCACAGGTAATTAACCTGAAAGAGAAAAACTGGTATTTGTTATCTTGTTCCTTTTAAAACTAAGTACTTGGGTGACTGCAGAAGGCAAATGCATCTCAGCTCAGCTCTTAGGTTTGAGGAAGAAAATGTTAATGAATTTAGAGCTGAAGAAACACATAGTACCTAAGTTATGTTTCTGTGCCTAAAGGCCTCTTTATAATTTGTAAGCATTCTGATCTTGTACCAAAATATGATGATTAGCCTCTCAGTGTGATAACATCAGGCCAATACAGTCAGAAGGGGATGCTGAGACAAGGAGTACTCTCTTCATCATTCAAAAGTAACTGTATGTGTTGTGCCCCTAAAAAAAAAAAGAAAAAGAACATAGACATGGGGAAAAGAAAGTGCTGATGCAAAGCAGATGATACCAAATTGCTAGGTAAGGTAAAATATTCCCCTTCTGCTTCTGCTGAATTCTTCCATTGCTTCTCTGTAGTTGAAAGTTTTAACTAACCAGAAACAGAGTGAGTACAGATGTGCATTGACAGGAAAAACACCAGAATACGTGTGATCATCTTTTTTTTTTTTTTTTTTTTTGTCTTTTATACACGTTGCAGTAAAGAGAGCTCCATACAAGGAGAATTGTGGTTTCCATAGTAGCAGATGGGCAACTGCAAGAAGTGGGTCACTGCTAGAATTGTTCCACTAATTCTAATGGCTGAGCAGCTGAGGGCTAGTTGGTGTAGGAGAGTTAGGAGTTCCAGCCTCCCCCAGCAAACACACACTGCTGCAGAGAAAACAAACAAAAATGGCACTGAGGCTTGTGCCTCGTCTTTCTCTTGCGTGTGCCTCCCTGCCTGGCATGCATATGGGCACCCACACACTGTTTGAATAAAGCTCTGCTTCTCCTCCCATTTGCGCCAGTTCCCCTCCAATATAACTTTGATGTAATTTTTGATAGAAATACGCGTGCTATGCTCTAGCACTAGTGATTGCCCAAATGCCCCCTGTCCTTTTCCCCTTTTTTTTCCGCAGCTGAAAAGGCCATGGGTACATTTCTATGGCAGTGTTGTTCTAAACAGGAACTGCAGCTCTGTCTATAAAGGGCTATGAGGAAAAGTACAGGATGTGGGTTTGAGATGGTGTGAAATGGTCTAGTCACCTACTCATTAAAAGTGGTAGGTTCTGGAAAGACCAGGTCTTTCTTAGGTCTTTCAGACTCCAAGGGCAGTTACTGTGATACAATCTGTGTCTGCCTTATTACTTGATCACATGTATAGGCCATAAGCATAAGAGCCGGGCTAAAATATCTCTATTGTTAGCAAAGATTTCCCCCCGTACATCCATCCTTACACACCTGAGTCCTTGTGAGAAGAGAAGGGCACTTGTGATCCACAGACCAGTTGGTTTCTTGGCTTTTTCTGCCTAAACAACCCAGGAGTTGTTACTATTGCAGTGGATGCAAACAGACCAAGCTGCTGGTCCCATCAGACAGCTGGTTGATACTTGGGTAGACATACCCTGCTTTTTTATTTTGCCCCCTCAGGGCTGACTGCTTTTCTTTTCTGAGGAATGCTCGAAGAAATAAGGCAGTAACTGGGAGCCCTTGTTTGGCTGTGCCAGTCAGTAGGGAGCTGTTTGGGGGCGAGTGGAAAAAAAAGAGACAGGAATTATATGTAACATTACTGACATTGTCTTTCTGCTTTCTTTGCAGTCCAGTGGAGTTGCTGCACTTATCGCTGTTCTTGTGCTGTTACTTTTGGTGGCGCTTGGTCTTCTCTGGTGGTTCTGGCCCCTCTGTTGCAAAGTGGTGAGTAACGAATATTAAAAAATAAAAAAAAAAGTCTCAGTATGTAATTTATGATCACCACTCATACCACGTTAGGAAATACAATAGGAAATAGGTTAAGTCTGAGAGTTATATGTGACATGAGCCATCTGTTGAGGCCGTTGTCTTTCATTAGGGATATGCTGTAAGCAGCAGAAGTGCTTACACGCTATGGACTGGGCTCCTAGCAGTGCTTTTGGATTTCAGCGAGACCAGCATCAGCAGGCTGATGTGTTGCTCACTGGCTTTCTACTGAGTGAGCAGATGTGTCACATTTCTGTGAAATCTTTGATAAAAGCCTTTTCTCTATTATTTGAAAGTTGCTGGCCATAATGGTACACAGATGTTATCCTAAAATCAAGGACCATTTTAAAAGTCCTATCACTAAAATGGATATTTGCAGTCCATTATAGGCTCTCAAGTTGGAAATCCCTTATTCTCTTATTAATCCCATGCAAAAAATTAAATTTTCATCTTGCACACATTACATCTCATTTCATCTGAATAATGAACGCTCTTTATCCTTCTAGCAGCAAAAAGTGCTGCCTCGCTTGTCTCCCTCTATCTCCGTGCACGTTGGAGGTTTTAAACTGGTGAAGTTTATTACCCATTCAATTCAATGACGTGCCGAGGACTTCAGAAGGGGAGATTGCTTCCAAGCTGCCACTATATTTGCTGTATGCTTGTCTCAGGCTTGTGGAAAGCAAGGCAGCACTGGAACTGCTCTTCTCTGCTGACCACACATTTTCACACTGCAGGTGAAATATTACTGAGATCATAAATAAATCCATGTAACTTCTTTCAGTGTCTCCTTTGAGCTATTGGCAGACACCCACAGGATTCTTAAAAGAAATCGATGACTTTGAATGAGTCGTGTTTTGCTATTTGTTCACTGCCTGATGGGAGTGATCATATTATCCTCTTTCGGGAGCTGCTTTTCTGAAACATTCTGCTTTTTGGCCTTTGCCTGGCTTTTAAAGCTTTTTTTGTTTATTTTAAAAACAAACACACTTACCCTTGACTTGACCACTATCAGAAAAGTTTCTTTAGTTCCTAACTGCACTGAGAACAAGTTGCCTCACTAAAACTCTTGTTTTTTCTTTGTTTGTTTTTGTCACTAGCTGAATATCACTGTCAGTCACAGCATATCCATGCATATCTAATTTATGTGAGACTCAAATCAGTCTTTTACAATTGGAAATTCTACAGATTCCATCATATTCAGTTGTACCTGAAGATTTTATCATTTGCCAAATGGGGATTTTTTTCAGAGTCAGGTTTACACATGTACAGCCTAGTGAAAAATCAAAATACTTGTGCCAGTGACCAGACGTCCGCGCCGGTCAGCTCCCATGGTGTAGCCAGCCTTGATGCACTGGGCATCTTCCTCTCACTACAGTAAAAAGTGACTGCAGTCTCTCAGTCCCTGGGGAGCAGAAATTCTCTTTACAGGGATGACTTTGTAATGACAATCAGTAAGACACTTCCTGTATTTTTATGGCAGAGTCATACAAGAAAGGAGGCAACTGGAGAGTTCTGTAGTGCTAATTTCCAGCCCTTATGGTAGCTGTGCCAATATAATAAATTAAAACATCAACTACAGCAGCCTGTGCTTGCTAGAAATGAATGGAGCTCAGTTTGCATTGCAGGTGTATATAAATAAATCCTGCAGAGCTGTGGAGGAATACCTTAAATTAACTCCCAAATAAGTAAAATAGATGTGCTGTACATTGAAGTGCAGAGCAGTGATGCACACAGATGCACAGTGACATCAGCACAGGCCTCTGGCTTCTCTTGTGCAGAGCTGACTTGTGTGTCGCAGCCAAGAGCTTCTCACAGCAGTGGGAAAATGCCCTTGGAATCTGGTTCACCTTGTGCTTAGGTCTGTTCCTCCCTGATGGTTACTCCCAGGCCTGGTAATTCATCCTAAGCATCTTTTCTGGGTACAGTATTTGGTAATACCACTAACTGTCTACTTTAGGGGAAATTGCAAGCTGTGAGTCCATGAGCTGCTGTAAAAAGTAGTCTCACTTCTCCAGGAGCAATAAAATCAAAGTGCCTTGAATGCTAGTTTTGGTACCCTGTTGTTTCTGGTCACCTCTCACAGATATCTTATTTCCTTTAAAAACGGTCATCGTAGGGCACACTGATACAATATTACTGAGTTCCAAAATGGCAGATTTTACACTGACCCTATTGCCAAATACAGACTCTTCTTTTCTTCTCTGCTTTGATGATCTTCCTCAGATCACCGCAGTGTGTTCCCATTGCCTCTCCTTCCCGTCTGCACCTGATGTGCTCACACTACTGGTCAGCTCCACTTGTGGCAAAGAGCCTCGGGCCTTGGTGCCCGTGTCCTTGACGTGAGGAGCATGTTTAGGTTAGGCAGGAGCTCTTCCCTTCCACCAAACCTGCTTGCCTGGCACAGGGGAGCGCTTAGTTTCATGGGACAAATAACAGGAGCAAGGAAGAAAGCGGCAGCCCTTAAGCCTAAGAAATGTCACATAGATGGGAATCAAAGGCGAAAGAGGAGAAAAGGGTCTTACAGGCAGAGCCGAATGAGTATCTGGAGCCCCCAGTATGTAATTCCGACTGTCTGCAGGCCACCAGAGTTGTGAGCTGGTTTGGGCACTTACTTCATCCGTGCTAGGAACTGGCTTTGACACAACGTCCACGTACAAACAGTTACAGGTTGGGGTGGGGGGACTCCTTCTTCTTCCTTTCCTTCCTTTTTCTCTTCAAGCAGTTCACTGTTGACAGTTCTTTCACTCTTCCCTCAATATCAGAACATATGATCGCATCAAGCTGGCTTCAGGCTCTGGTGCTGACATTTCCTAATGCCCACATCACTCGAACATTTGAAAAGTGTTAATGAGCAGATCAAAGGGACTGTTGCCTGAAGCAACTAACTTTTTTTTTCTTTTTTTTAAAGAAATCGGCTCTCCTCCAAACTCAAGTGTTCTTTCTTTGCAGCTAAATAAATGAGATACTGCCTTGCCTGGCAATGCTGATAATAAACCAAAACAAAATTAGGGAGGAATCTATCTCTACATGTGGCTAATAAGACAGTAGCATTATTCAGAATCTTCAGGATTTAAATGTGCGGAATAAAGTTCGGGGAAAGTTAATCTTGCAATATTATGATCTTGTATATTTGCAATTTTATGCTACATTTGCATTGTTTTCTGCCTAAGCTGCATGAGTTCCCTGATTTGATTTTTTCCGAAATGGCTTTCTGCTAATTTTTCTTGCAATATCAGACAAGACTGAGAATACTCTTTGTGTGTGTGAGAGGCAGAGAGAGGGAGCGAGCGTGAGTGTGTGAGGAGCCTGTGGAAACATAAGGATGCAGGCATTTACATTCCACTTCTGTCAGCAGGGGTGAATATCTGCTACTCAAAGCAGATTATTTTCTCACACCACTGTCACATGTAAAACAAGTTTCATTTTCCGAAGCTATTAGAAATAGCAGCTAATTAATGTATCAGTTAACTTCAAATCGAGTTTACCCTGTAACTTCAGGGAGTTTAGCAGCTGGCATGGGATCGGATCCTGCTAAGGCAGTAAGATAAAAACTTCCACAGTGCCGGCTTACGAAGCCTGGCGAGGTCAGCGAGTCGCATTTTGCTTGATTCACTTTGCTTGAAACTGCAGTTCTGTCAAAATGGGTAGGCATTTGGCCCCAGGAAGCTTTAGCCCCCATCGGAAAGTTTAGGATCAAAAGTCATCTTTTCTCAGGAAAGATTCTAGGATATAAGAATAATAGGGCTATAGAAAGCAGAGTGATATCATTGCTAAATATATATATATATATACACACACACACACACACACATATATATACACTTTACAACATAGCTGGGCTTCTTCTCCTCCTCATACAGCTTAGAATCTTGGCAACAAAATATGTATTTTGAGATAATGGTTAGAGATAGGCAGAGGGAAAAGAAGGATGAGAATTAAATACATTAGATAATGTGAAACTTAGACTGAAAGTAGCTTTTGCTTTTTTTTCCTGTCTCTTAACTGTTTTGAGAATTAAAGATTTTTAAAAATCTTGCTCAGTGCTCAAATAACTCTCAGAATCTCTTCCATGCTCTGTGTTTATGTTTCTGTTAAGGCAGTCATTCCAGTCTGGCTTTCAGGAATGCTAGACTAATTAAATAGTTGATTTCTATTAAGTATTCTGAAAATTCTTGATGTCTCACAATAAAAAAATTCTCAGAAATATTTAAAGAAAAGCAATTTTAACATGTTTTTGCAATGTCCTGGCGCGCACACACACACACAAATGTGTAGTTAATTGATTTTCCAATCTTCTGAATGTACTCTGAGCTTAATAAATAAATATATCTTAAAACCTGTAGTCCTGCGGAAAATATCTCTAAAGGTGCCACTACTTATTTGTCTTATTTGATGTAATTCCTGTATCCAGGGCTAAAAGTGCATAGTTTATATGAGTAGTAACTGTTTTTGGTGTCACTCAGACTTGAAATGTTAATCAAATGTCAATCATTACTCTTGAGAAATGGTCAAGAAAAAGATGATTCTGTTCTGTATGATGCTGGGCATCTGTGCAATGGCACATTATTTATATGCAGTGGTAGGGTAAATGGAAGTACTGTAATTAGTAGCAGCAAGTGAAGGAAATATATTTCAATTAAGATACTCTTATAATTTAAGTATCTCTCATTGGGGACAATTTTAGTTGGGCTAGTAGGCATAGCAGAACTAGACTGCTTTATATTCATGGGTTGTTTTTTTCTGTCATTTTTACATAATACAACAGAAAATGACTCATAATAAAACAAGTGAAGAGCTTGGTTATTTTAGCTTTACTAACCTGTGGAACAATGCCTGGGTCTTCAGTTCTTATCATCATCCTTCACGAGGATTGTGGCCTTCCTCTTCCTCTCACTTGACCATTGCTTCTTTTCAGTATTGAGGGAACTCCTTAGAATTCACAGCTGACAAGAAATTAGAGGGAGGAGTTTAAATGATTTAAATGTACTGTGTATATTCTGTAGCTTTCTAAAAACTTAAGCTAACCTAAAGCTTCATGCAGCACAAATACAGGGTCTCAGTTATCCAAGAGAGAACTTATTTTGGTCTTTTTTTTCTTTTAATCACACAAAGAGGTAATTTCAGTTGGGCAACCAAGCAGTCTTATGCTTGGGAATAAGGTTTAAGTGAACTGCCCTAACAGAAGCTGTCCTTCTTCAGCAAGACTTTAAGAAGCCCTGTGATTGTAACTCCCTGATGCAGACACTTCACTCTGAACAGTCAAGGAGCTCTGTATTTAAGTTATTATCTGTAATGTGAGATCTACACAAATGACCTGGATGTCCAGAGGAGAAGCCTGAGCTACCAGCAGGCATTTCTCACTTGTTGCCAGGCCAGCAATTCTCCTGCACAAGGGAGCAGGCATCTTAGCCCAAGATAATACAAGACCTCACATGGACCTTGGGTTGCTTTTCCTCCTAGGCTTCCTAATTAATTCCATAGGATTTCATCACTGGCAATTACTTAGAATGACTGAATCTTATCCGGTCAGGAAGCAAAGGGGCAGACGCATCTGCCCAGAGAGTGTCTGCCAGTCAATTGATTTTATTTGCTATCAGGAGGGTGGTGGTAATTTCCAGAAGGCCTCAATAATCAATACCCAAGGGACTTGGCAGCAGTGGCTGCCTGTTTGCAAGGAGATGTGGAGGACTCAGACAGAAACAATTCACTAGGAAGTTTCTGTTGGCTTTTTTCATGCTCTCAGTGCAGCTACTTACGTTTTTGCATGTTTGGTTTTTTAGGTCATCAAAGATCCGCCTCCGCCTCCATCCGCTCCGAAAGAGGTATAGTATAGAGGGGCTCCATGGACCATGTGGATTACATGATACCACTCCCTTGTGCTTTCCTGTGCTCTGCACATCTGTCTCTTAGTCCTAGCTGCTAAAATAGGGAAAAACACAGCAGTGGGAAGTCTTAAGATGAGACATTTGGATGGGCAAAGGTCAAATCTCTGTCCTATTCCAGTCATCTCAGTGCAGCATGAGTCAGGTAACTTAAGCCTATATCCAGAGAAATATTTTGGGGCTTTATCCCAAAACAGTTTCAACATTAAGTTCCCCAATCTGTAGTTAAAGCAGAGAGATGGGGCACTTCTATGATACCCTAAAAATTCACCAAATGACCTGATACAGTATTTTCCTGCAGCTTTAGTATTCCAAACACTGAAGAACCTTCAGGGGAATTTCTCCACCTTTTCTGGGCAATCATGTACAAAAGGATGTTCTGGTCCCTTCAGTATTTTTCCCTCTGCTCTTCATTTAGCTGGCCGCTTGAATGCATTCAAGCTTATTCTGGAAGTTAAGTCCACGCTAAGGCACTTTACTGAGCAGAGCAAGTTTGACAGAGGTTGGCTTAGGAAACTGCTCGGTAGTGTAAACTTTATCTGTCAATCTTCTGAGTACTGTCTGCTGAATCCAAATGACGAGGGCAGATAATCTGGCTTTTTGAAGGCAATATATTTTCTATGTCAAAAGCTTCTGAAAATCCCTTTCCTACTATGAGTTTTGATTTCTTTATTAGTGGAATAGAAAAGCTGAAGACAAATTATGAGCACTAGAATGCATAGCTGGAAACCCCATTTGGTCTTTTACAGTGTTTGTGTGTGTTTCCCCATGCCCCAAGATGGGAACATAACTAGACATGATTAGGTTTTGTTTGGAGCCTGGTTATCATTGGGGGAACCTAAAGATCTAGTCCTTTGCACCTAGGATGGGAAAACCCTTTTTTCTTTGAGATCTAAGGAAACCATATATTTAGACAGACATTTTGTGGAAAAAAATTAGGAAGTTTCTCTTTTAAAAGTAATCTTATCTGTATTTATGGACAGGAAGAAGAAGAAGATCCCTTACCAACCAAGAAATGGCCCACAGTAGATGCTTCCTACTATGGAGGACGAGGCGTTGGAGGAATTAAAAGAATGGAGGTTTGTACTCTGTGGAAATGCCAAATCACTAAAGCACAAGATTTCTGAGGCTGCAGATGGTAGAAACAAAGACTTTTAAAGTGTCCTGCAAATACAACAGGATAATGCTTGCTTCTTTCCCAGTGACATAAGCCTTGTAAAATTCTTACCATATCCAATGATTCTGACCTTGGTTATGAAAGAACAGCTTTCAGTAGTTCCATTTGACTGGAACTTTAAATAGATGCAGGAAGGCATGCTCTTTCCATCAAGCTAATGAGAAAGAGAGAGTGAGAGCCTTTTCTGAATGTTTTGGAAGAAATTACAGTGAAACATAAGTCCTCCAACTGTGGGCCAGCCAAATGCGCTGACAATGGTGACGCTAAGGAGAGGCTTGATCCCAAAGGAACTCACAGCGACAACAGTGCCTGTCTTTGAAGAGACATGATAGCATCATGTTAATTAAAACAGAATGAAAAATGTGCATCCTTATGGGCATGTCCTTATGTCAGATTTTATAGTCAAGTCAGCCTTTATGGAATTTGCAAAGCAGTTTTCTACGTGCTTTAACTTCAATCTGGGAAACTGTCTCTGAAATATCCATCTAAGCCTTTATTGACAATCTTGATCAAACTCTATCTAAATATATGGGCCCAAGAACCACCTTTGCCTGAGCTCTTCTCAAAAGGAGAAGAATGTGTGTTCAATTTAAGGCTGTCTTGTTTATATGTGTTAGCTTTCGCAGTTCAGAAGTGCTAATTTAGAAGAGCCCAGCTTTTAAAAAAGAAACCATTTTGAACAGCACTACTCAGATACAGGCTAGAAAATGCTTTCCTTTCCAACCTAAAGAACTGTAAGCCTGGATTCTTAAAGCCTGGATTCTTAACAGGAGCCATGTCTTAGGAGCCTCCAGAAGAGATTCCAGGCCTTAAGTAATTATCCATTTGGAAATGGGACCCTTCCAATGGAAAACTAATGCCCAGTGATCAGAAATATCAGCACTGAGGAAAAAACACATGTTTATCACATGGTGAAAATACAGTTTTCGCTTCAAGGAAGAGAAGAAAAATTTATCTGGTTTGGAAAACACTTTCATCTATTGTTGGAATTTGGATGGCTAAAGATGTAAACCATTTGAAACTGTTGATAACACAAACATGGTGCTCTCAGAGCTGGACTCTTGAAAGGCACCTTGTTCTGCAGAGCCGGGTCTCCTTCCTTCTCTGGGGCCTGAGCCTGTTCAACCATTTTCAGAGATGGCCTCTTCTTTTTAATTCCCTAAATATGAAGTTCCACCTATGTTCAGTAGTATTTGTAACCGTGTGCCTGAGCAAACTACTAACTTAATTGTGCACTTTCTGCTCTTCTGGATTAAGCAATATCAAGCCTTATGTCTTTAACTGCCTCAAGAGAGTATGTTGCTCTTTTTGTGAATGAGGGCACAGCAAGTGTTGAAAAGACAGAGAAAACAAGAGCTCTCTTAAACCATGTTGAAGGTTAGCAGGTCAAAGAGAAGTTATTACTTACTTGATGATAAATATGTAGCAATGTCTGTGCTGTGGCCAAAGAACAATCATGGGTCTGGTCTTTTATGTTTCTTTGTTGTTTTCAATTCATGTGGTCATTCACTCGGCTGCTTTTTACTGTGTGTGCTCTGCGCTCTGTCATTCTTCTGGCAGCTTGATTCTTCTGGCAGTTTCCTAAGACAGAGGAAAGCAGAGAAGGAGCTAGTCAGCTGACTCTTACCAGTCCTCTCCTGCTTCACGTCACATGCTGTACTCCTTTTTGGGGCAACTTCATTCACTCCTGCCTCTTCCACTAGTTTCACTCCCATTCCCCACCCCTCACCACCAGGACAGGCCAGAATAATTTAGCTAGTCCTGCTCAGTCCTCCAACATATTGTCTTAAAGGTTTATGAGGCCATTAATAAACCCCACCCATTACAGACTGTTAAATTTTAATATCAAAGTTGTGTTGTCGGACTCTACAGATGGCAGTTTCTTGTGGGTGGAACCATTTCAATCTGAAAGAGAAGGTCATTTTTTTTTTTCAGTAAGGAATCCTCCACCTTTAAATGATTTTAACGGTGTTTAACATATATTTTAACAACCTCATAAAAAACACCATAAAAGTACCACTGATCACAGCGAAAGATGCAGAAGCATTTTAATGACGCAGCAGGGTCTACCTGGACATGAAAGCCCGTTGTAATATTGCAGAAAGAGGAATCCCTGGGGAGAAAAAGATAACACTAAGCAAGCCAAACAGCATGATTCAAAATAACTGAAAGATTGAAAACAATCCCCTTCCTAAGCAAGGATGGCCTGCATTTTATCAAGGTGAGGAATAGTATTACTAGGCCAAATAAAGCTCTGTTGCACTTTAGTGCTCTCATTCGTGGTGCACTGGTAAAAGACACCTGGTGATGGTGATAAAATGATATAATTTTCCTCCAAGACATTTCATTTGCCTGAGGAGAGGGGTCAGTGTTATATATTTTCCTCACCTACCACCGCAGAACTGGCATACAGCTGTCAATCTGTAATCGTGCACTATGCAGTGGCGCTCTCAATTCCTTCCCCAATGTGGAAGGTGAGTCAGTCTTCTCTGATCTGGATTCTTCCCTTTTTATGCCTTGTATTTCTAGTCTGGAGGTCCCTGAAAGAAAACTAGCATGTTGGTGGCACCCTGCAGTAATAGCTGGCTGGCACCATGAGAGCAGGGAATAATTGCCTAATAACACTTTGATGACTCAACAGCATGACACATGCAATGTCAGAATTTCATTTCCTGCCTTGAGGTGTATCAGGTCTTCCTTACAGGCTGGATTTTAGCAGATGGCATGATTAGGAAAGTCATGCACTGACACGAAGAATTTTCCAACTCTAAACATAGGTTTTAGATGCTCTTTCTAGATGAGTAAAAAACTAGTCAGGTTCATTTGTTTGTAGAGTACAGCAGACATACCAGTTCAAATTGCTGCACAATGTTTCATGTCATAAGAAGATTTTTTTTCCCCTGTATTTCTCCTTACAGCATAGCCAGTACAACTTTTCATGGAGGTAGAAATATGTGCCTGTCTCACCAGCAACCATAATCCAGGTTTCTTATCCCTTTGAACTACTTATATGTGTTCTATATCTTTTGTGGCACTGATAAAATGCACATTTTACACCTTAGACATTTACTTATAATACAGCGCGCACCACTTCATCTGCCTTTTCTCTAATATGTACCTTCTTGCAGAACCACTTCAAAACCTTTGAACAGCTTCAAGGAGTTTCTGTTAAATCTCCCTGAAGTACTGCTATCTAAATTGGGAATCTCGACAAACATGCAGTGTTGAGAAATCTACAGTGGCTAAAGCCTAAGCTTTCATGAATGGCCAATTGAGATCTTGTATTTTTGGATAAATCAGAACTAGAAATGAGTTTTATATCACTGAGGAGGGAAGGTTTTGGGGGGGGATTTCCTTATACATTCCATATGATACATATCCCAGGTTGGAATTTTTCAGTATTTTTCTTGACTTTTTGCTGCTGACAGCCACTCGTATTTACAAATGCAAAGATGTATAAGAATGTTGATAGTAGAACAGGAAGAATAAACATTTTCCTCAATGTTTCTCTCTTATTTATTCAGAATTTCTTCCAAATTTAAAACTTTTTTTTGGCTATTGCTCCTATCTACCATTATTTCCTTATCCTTTACATAAAACATAATTATGCTGTATTGTGTCTTTTCTCAGGTTCGCTGGGGTGATAAAGGATCTACAGAAGAAGGGGCTAGATTAGAAAAAGCAAAAAACGCTGTGGTGAAGCTCCCAGAAGAAGCAGAAGAGCCTTTTCATCCTAAACCACCTAAACCAAAGCCTACCTCACCAGTCATTCAGGAGAAGTGGTACACACCAATTAAGGTAATCTAGTCTTTAGTATGATCTGGCTTTGTACAAGCTACAAAGGCAGGAAGGAGGCTGGATTTTGTGTACCCTGCTGGCCTTATGTGGGATGAACTGTACCTTGTTTCTCAACTATTCCTATTCAAGCAGCTCTGGAAGGAAAATACCTCTCAGACCAAACAGCTGGAGCACATTTTAGTCATAAGTGCTGTACTTCAGTGTGATGTACTACAGTCTGTTCTCTCTCCACACAACAGGACATGTCTTACAGTAACAGAATCAAAACATATTTTTTATTTATAGCTATTTGATCTATCTATCTCAATGTAGATCTAATTAAACAAAAAGGTCTCTCTACAGAGTTTGTAGCAATTTCCTAGGTTTTCCACCTGTGACTATATTACCAGTCAAGAAATGAAAAATGTAACATAAACCAGCAGAATGCAAAATTCTGGTTGAAATAAGTGACACAAAGCAAGTGGTATAAAATAAAGACATTTTCCCTGAGCGTGCTCTGAGACACTTGCAAACCCGTAACAAACATAACCCATACCATGCTTAACGTATCAAGCTTGTCTCAGAAACTGAAGACGGGCCCATAAACACTTCTTTTCAAATATATAAAGGCACAGAATAGACAGGTTTAGTTCGGAGTTTGGACAAGGACTCTTCACAAATCCCTATATGTCCAAATGTCCAAAGCATTGGTGTTAAGTAATTCCAGTCCAAAGTGACTGGAATTACTGAGTGGGATACTGCCGACACGCATCAGGGCTGCTGCACATGTTGTACACGGGCACTCTGAGCACTCACAGTAAACCTGATGCATTCAGTACAGGTTGGACCTACTGTACAACACATATCAGTTACGTGCCACGTGCCGAGAAGGTCCAAGGCTTCTTGCAAATGACAAATTGGCTTTGTACAGACTGTAAAAGCACTTCCCTTTCTGTGGGAGAAATCCTAGATGGACAGGTGGCAATTCATCCCAAAGTAAATACCAGGAAATTTCTCCAAGGATCTCCTTCAATGGTAACTTAGCATGAGGTGGACTGTCAATAGATGAATTTTATCATACTGAAAGTCCTGTTGCTCTGTTGCCACAGGGTCGACTTGACGCACTGTGGGCGCTGTTACGGCGACAGTACGACCGCGTCTCTTTGATGCGACCACAGCAAGGAGATGAGGTTGGTGTGTTGGGAGCGCGCCAGCCAGGGTGGGCAAAGAGGGACACGGTAGAGCAAGGCTTTAGCAACAGATAAGCACTGACAATTCCCTGAGCTTAACTAAAGAAAGCCATGCAGTCAAAAGAATGGTACAGAAGGCAACCAGTGTTGGGGAAAAAAGTGCTTTGAAAGGGGTATCCCAGCGGACAAGAAATGCTGCAGAAACACTGATCTCCTGAAAGTACAATGAATAATTCTGTAAGTATTCTGTGTATTTGCAGTTGGAGGACAAGAACATGGTGCAGGCTCTGTAACAAAATTGCTAATCTTTCTTAAATCCCGCTATTTATAAGAGTAGATTTTGGCAATCAAAACACTAAAAATCTATCCATTTTAAGTAACTATTGATAATTTTCTTGCACATTTCTTCCTGTTGCTCAATATTCCTGGAGTAATAAAGCAAAGAAAAAGGTTTTTCTTTTTAAGAAAAAGCGTGCCAAATGCAGCATTCAGAGGAAGAATGGAGGCAACTTGTGTTGCAGGCAGGGTAATGACCCATGAAAAAGTGGCCTCCACAACAAAGACTGCTTTAGTTAGGAAGTAGCAGGAATAGTTATAATTTGGATCTTTCTACAATAATGCTACTTCATTTACTTCTGGCTGCTACACCTTTAAAAAGCTTTACTCTAAATCACCATGTTTACTTTGGAAACTTATTTATCATTAAGCTGTTTCAAATCTACTAGAATCATTCAGCTTCCTGTTTCTGACACACTTAAGAGACCTAGTAGCAAACTATTTCCTCTGAGTGAGACATCAGCTTATTCTCAGTAAACTGCCCTCAGATGGCATGACAGATCAGGTGCTGTGACACTGCAGAACTCTGCTGAAGAGCCAGGCTGTGCCAGCTTACGTTTGCTGAGGATCTAGCCCAGCAGATGAGCATCAACTCACAGGGAGATGTACAAGGATTATCTGAAGAATCAGAATTGTTCCTCCCAGTTTAATAGGGACACTCTCCTTAGATCACTTTCTCTCTTGCCACTGGCACTCTGCAGCCTCTTGCCCTGCATGGCATCAATAAGATGTGCTTCAGATTGTTCTAGTGTTCCTCTTTGTCCCCCTTTGGTACCCCACTCAAAAAAGTGTCCCTTGCTCTCCTGCATAATATACAGAGCTTGTCACTGGACTGTGAATTTTCTACCTGCTCAGCATCTGCTATGGACTGCAGAGCAATGAAAGTGAAGAATGTGTTATCAAAGAAAACAGAAAGCCAGGAGAAGAGCTCAAAGAAATTGGATTAATGCTATAGAAACAGCGTGCCAGAACACTATTTTTGCAACATACACCATAAAAATGATGTATGGGAATTAGAGTAGCTAAAGGGAAGAAGTTACCTTTGAGAGGATGAGCGGTAACTAGTATTTAGATTATTTTTTTCGGTGAACGGGATAAACTTTAATACTGTTGTAAAGGAAAAAAGGCTGTGATTTATTTAGGACAAGTGTTGGAAGGAACGGAATGATAAGGTACAGTGCCAGAAATAGGGAGCCATGCTCTGTGTGTGGTTGTGCAATACTGACCTTCTAGTTGTTGTGTTTGCAAGTTATTTACTATTTGCATGGATGAAACATATTACACATAGCAAACTTATAGTAAGTCTACATGCTAAATAGCACAGCACAGTTTAACAAGTAAATTGAGTGTCTAATAGTAATGTAGATGAAATAGTAACTGAACAGGCTAAAGACTGTTACTCAAGCTCTGTTTTGAGGGGGTTGTGACCATAAAGCCAGGTAGTTTCTGTAAAAATTGCTGGGTATAGAAGGCTTTTTTGAACCACTGAGAAATCAGACATCTGTTCAGTCTAAATTTCCCAGGAAGACGTTGGCCAGCATCTAGGTTATGGATAAACAGAGGCCAGAAGCATGTCAGTAATCCTCACTGAATAAAACAAAAAGAAAACTTGTACGGAAGAATAATCACGTGACCCACAGCTCACTAAGAATGTAATTTCTGTGTCGCTTAGTTTTATATCTTCAAAGAAAAATCTTACTCATAAGTGCTAGGTACAGATCCCTTGCTGTATCCCCTGTGGACTTAAGCCAGTAAACAGATGAGCAGTAACGTGTGTGCATGGTGAGACATGCACACACATGCGCGCACCCCGGAAGCACTGTCAGGGGAAGCAGGAGTCACAGTTGCTGTTTGTTTTTATTGCTTAGGAACCTGGTGGCTCCAGTTTGCAGAAGAATTCACCACTGAATTCAAGTCCTTGATCAAGTAATTGAAATGTAGGCAGGAAGTATCAAAGCAGAGAGTGCTTTTTCTTCCCCCTCTCCCCCACCTTTTCCACGTTGCCAGCTAATGCCGAGGGTGGCCCAGTTTGAGGGCTGCATGCAGCGCAGTCAAGACGCTTTGATTGTGGACGGAACTCCTCCGAGTCATAAATTTTTCAGCTGGCAAGCCGGGAGGTTAGGGCAGCTTGTACAGGTGTGAGCTAGCAGGTTGTCGCCGACATCTGTTTAGAGCAGAGGCACAGGTCCTCAGCAGCCTGCAGCGAGGCTGCTGGATTGTCAGCAGATGTAGTTAAGAGTGGCAGAACAGTTTTGGTCTCACATTTGCCGCCTGGGGGCTGAAACACTAAAGGTAGAGTGGGGGTGGCCACAGCTGCGCTCCCAAACATGCCTCAGGCACAAATAAAGAGATCTAATATAGTTTGACTCTGTTGTGGTGGGGAGATGGGGACAGAGAGCCACTTCAGAGACAACTTAACGCTGCAACATCTGCCGCCAAGTTTCCAGGGAGTGACAGGGGACAGCAGGTACAGATCGAAGTCCCCACATAAACAGCCTCCATTAAGCCATGAACTCTTTTGAAGGGCTCCCATCAAACATAGAGGAGTCTGCATCAGTAGATTGTTTTGTTTTCAAAGCAATGTTTTGTTTTCTGCACTAATAAGATAATTTATAAATGATGCATCACCAGGCATTCATACTCTCATTTACAGTTTCTTCCCTTTTTCATTAAAAGCGTAAAGAAGAATAAAGCACGGAGCTTTTCAGGTTGTTTCATAAAGCCCTTAGCTCTCTGAGGGTGTCACAGCTTGATCTGAGGTTAGGGTGACCTGCAGACCACTGTGGTTGAGGCGGGAAGCAGGGCTGAATGCAAGTGCTGTCCCTGTGGCTCACAGAGGACTGGCTGCCATTGCCTCTGTGCTGAAACTATTCTCACTTTCACCAAGTTTGTTACTGCAGGAGAAAGAAACTTGGCACGGGTTTACAGCATGAGCACTTGGGCCCTCTTCTTTTATCTATTTTTTTTTTTGTTATGCGCAGATTGGCATCTGAAGTTAAGACAGAAAATATGAAACCATTAGCTCAGACTGCCAATTGTGGAGCACCATAATAACTGTTACAAGTCTTGGCTCCAAGTGCACCCGACACTGCACTGTCCAGCTCCTTGCACTGTCCAAAGGAAACCTCAGTATTCTGGAAAAAGAACTACATAACTGCAGTTTCTAGGAGTACCGTAACTTTCAGCTCCACAAAATGCTGTAACAGGGTTCAACAAACAGCTGTCAAATACTCTCTCTGCTATCCTGGAGAGCATTACAGTTCTTTCTTTCTTCACTCATGCTACATAAAGAAGCAAACGTTTCATTTGGCAGTCAGTTTTTGTCAATAACTGTTCATTTCATTGAGCAGGAATCAAAAGAGAAAAAAGCACATTTGTTTTCTTAATTCCTCAAAGCATCCTTTTATGGAGTGGACTGCAGCAAAAGCAATTACATTTAATCACTACCTGGCTTCCAAGCTTTGGAGAGAGGGCAGTGTGTATGTAACCAAGCTCAGTCATAAAACGCAACTCCCAACTTGGGTATGGTCTTTATGTACAGTGTAGTTTATGTTCATGTGGAATGTCTCATTAGTCCAGTTTACAGAAAGACTGACTACCTTCAAGGAAAAGCCAGAAAGCTGACAGGTTAATTCAGATGCTGCTCTCAAGAAGAGATGTGACAGCTTTCACTGTCTTGTGTGTCCAGATTTATGAACTAGTCCTATGCTCTTAACCAGATTAGTTCCTTTTCCATTAACTGCCAAAAGTAGGGCAGCTGTCCGAGCGGCTGGTTGCAAATTCGATAATGTCGGCCGTGTTAATCTGAAGGCTTTGCAGATAGAGAAGGCAGCAGATAACAGGATTAAAGTTGCACAACCCAGGGTTTTCACAGCCCGAGATGCGGGTGTAGGGGGATAGAGAATGACTTCTGTCATTAATCTTAATTGATTGCCAAGAGGTTTTAATCTGGGTTATTAATTAGGAAGGTCCTTAACACACTGTCTACACATCAACATCAGATGCTCTTTTGGGACTTTGGGGACATATGGCCTATCTTATATTTACATTCACACAATTTACACACACATATATATATTTCTGTATAAAGTACGCACACACACATATATACATATGTATCGTGTGTGCACGCCAATAGCTGTAGAGGCATTTGTATGCACAGAGGCATCACACTTCCTTGGAAAAATTTGACGAAAATGAAGAAGCACAGTGCACACAGGCTACACTTACATAATAATAAACATGCATATCTCCATATATGTTGATCTGTATGTGTATCTGTATTTATTATATATGCTGTTTATCTAGATTATTTTTTAAATGGAAATTTGCAAATTCGTGTTACATTTATGTTCAACAAAAGACTAGCACAGAATCACAGAATGGCTGAGGTTGGAAGGGACCTCTAAAGATCATCCAGTCCAACTCCCCTGCTCAAGCAGAGGCAGGTTGCTATGTGCCCGTGGCCATACAAACACATACAAATCTCAAAAACAAACATTTTCATTTTATCTTTCACAATTTCTTTGAGTAAAAAAAGCCTTCACTTTTTTCTTTTTTTCCCCTTTTTATTTGTAAATAAATTACTGTAGGACAGCCAGAATGGATAGACATATACCTATCCACAGCTACGGTGTAACTATGTAATAAATCCCAGTAACACT